GTCCAAGTAGTACAGAATTCAGCATAACCGATTTTATTAAGAACTCATTGCAAAAAATGATTGTATCTCTCATCAAAGAGGGCAGAAAACATGCATTATTGTACTCTGGAGGGGAGTTTGACAGAGTATTACTCAAAAAGTACACAGTAAAAGTACTTGATTGTATTTGTGGTAGTAGTCTAACATGTACTGAGTCCAACAGTACCAATTTTATTAAGAACTTATGGCTAAAAATAATTTGATCCCTCATCAAATATCATTGATTGATTGATCAAATAAGCACTTTTACTATCGTCAGCGCCACTTCTCGGCGATTACCGTAAAGACGCTATTAATCGCGCACTCAAAAATGAAGCGCTGCTCATTTGACCAAGCAAATGCGAGAGACGGCTGAGTTGACCGCAGTAGGATCTGGGGGTGAGAGGGTTTGTTTTTCCATATATTTGTCTGATTGTTGACAAATATTCCTCTAAGGTACATTTAGAACAGATACAAAATGTGCGATTAATTTCCGATTAATCGAGATTAACTATGGACAATCATGCGATTAATCGCGATTAAATATTTTAATCGACTGACAGCCCTAATTTTTTTAAATGTGTATGAATACATTTTGAAAAACATTTGATCAACAACAAAAAAGGATTTGATCAGGATCTAGACTCAGTGTGTAGTTTATTAATTAATCAATGCTCTCTACATTAGGAACACACATACCAGTGTACCAGAGGGAGTCACACACAGCTGTGCCTAGATAACCAAACAAATTGACAAGATAACCAAAATCCTTGCATCTACACACAGCAAATAAACTCAAATGACACAAAGGAGATCACACATACAGTATAGTCGATATAAAACTGTCCGCTTCAATCTGAAGAGCAACTCAAACAAAACACGGGAGTGTACCTTGTTCTTGTGAACACTAATGTTATCCACAGCATACACAGAGACCACGAAGTTCTTAAGGAGAAAACTAGTTGCTAAAACAAAACACGTTAGTGTACCTTGTTAGCTAATGTTAGCTAGCTGACATTAACGTTACACATTGCACTCATATTACTCACCGAAACCTTGTAAAGCCGGTCCCGCTGCTCTTACAGAACCGACTAACTCCCCTTTCGTGTATGTACAGCTCTCAACATGCCCAGACTTGTAGTGATTTTCACCTCGTAAAATACTTTTATTCTCATTCTGAAAGAATGTGGTGAAATGTGCTAACGTGACGGCCATCTTTATGTTGGTGACGCGTATTGTGCAAGACCAGAGACCTGTAGTTCACTGAGCGGTTTCACACGAAAAAATGTGTAACTTCACAGTTTTACGACACATTTTTATTTTTTTGACTTGCAAAATGTTCTTTTAAATTGACAAACATCATATGTGTCATTCGTGGCACAATTCAAACGGGATCAAAAGATAACCTTTCTCTCTCCATTGACTTCAATGTATAATTTTCCGCTTCCGGGGTCCCATTGAGGCTTTCGGAAGGGGAGGGACTTCGCCTCTCTTGATTCGATGGTCAACTATGTTCCCAGATAGTAAAACCTCTCACAAATACCGCATATATAACGCAAATACCTCGGACTTAGTGATGTATTAAGACATATGACAAAACATGACATAAAACAAGCATACAGCACTGTTTAGAATCCATTTGGTCTGGTTTAGCGTAACCATGGAGGCGGCCATCTTTCACTTCTGTTGACAATATGCAGCTACCCAATGTGTAGCACGATCACGTGACGAACCGTGGCACTACTTTTGACCAAGATATTATTACGCTTTGAAGGGACTAGTTCAGCCAATAATTACGTGCCTAGAAGAATTGACAGGAATTTTAGCGACAAACTTTTCTTTGGTGGATAAGCATGACTCGTTCTTTTTTATGAACTAAAGATTATGTAGTTCCACTTCTGTGGAGCGGGATTTCTTTTCTAAAGGACTTTTCGAGGTTCACCTTGCGGCCTAGTATGAGCGTTGGAGCTTGGAGCTGGGCGTGTCTGAAGCTCGACCAACAACCAATCACATTAATCTCCCGCCCCTGACACACAAGCAGCGGTTTGATTGGCTAGAGCTTGTACTGGCATATGATTTGATTGGCTGACGCTTCCACCGAAAGCTTCAGAAGCTTCAAAAGTTGAACATTGCTCAACTTTTGCAGCCTGTAACGCCAGGAAAGCTCCGCTCTGCTTCCCACAATGCAGTTCGGCGAAAAGTGACGTCACCCCATTCAAAGTGAATGGGCAGACGCGTTGGAAACCGTTTTTGAAGCTGTCGAAGCTGTAGTGTGGACGGGCCGTAACAGTGCGACAAGGTTACGCTGAGCGTCACAGCTCTATGAAATGGAATGGAACCACGGCAGACTATCCAAAACTGGAATTGGACAGGTCAAAAAGCGTTTTAATAGCCAAACTATCCTACAATTTAGGATTTTACAGAGGGTTATTTGTGAATAAACGACCATCTGTAACGTTTGCATTCAACGGGAGCACTAGAGGGCGAAAACTTTCAAACTTAATTATAAGACATAACTATAGGACGTAATTATAGGACGTATTAAGCGCTTGAACAAACGACATTTGGTCGTAATAAGGGCCTGAACAATCGGCCCATTTGGTCGTATATGAGTTGGAGGACTTGTTGAGATTTTATGATCCATTTATCGTCTGATCAACCATTGCCCTGCAGCACTATTTTTTGTCCAAGCCAAAAAGTCATTAAACCTCATCATGCTGATTGGCCTCATCAGTCACTTTGGTTTTCATAAATCATCTTTTGTTACATTTATCCAAACCTGTTTTTACGAATAGGTGGCACTATAGAGAGATTTAAGGATATCTGTTAAACTGCTCTGACTCTCGGAGCATCTCTGTCAGCAGAGGCAGCTGGCCACGTGGAAATGGTCCTGGAAGAATAATGGAGCCTGCTTTCCAGGATATGTAAAGTGAACCTTGTAATGTGTTTTTGCTTAATGTAACCGCGGCAGCGCACACGGCCTAAAGTTTAGCTGTTCTACTGATCAAAGTTGCCCTCTGACTCAACTTGATCAAACAGCAAAAACTCCACAGATTCAATTTAAAGAAAACACGATACAGTTGGCAGTCAACAAAAAGGCTTAAGACAAGGATTTTCTCCCAGGAGTATGACATGTATTATCAAATAGACACATTTACAAACAATATTTTAGCCAGTAACCAGCCGCGGTTACATTAAGTTAAATATTTCTTCCAATTTATAATGATTTATAATTCGGATTTTGCGGAATGGATTATTGATTTAAAAACAACAATAATACTATTTATTTACAGATTTTCCAAAAATCTTATTAGGGATCAAGCAATTGTTAGTGTTAGCTTATGGACTTCACAACTGAACCGACTAGGCAGGTTACAAATCATTCTCAATCTCATCCCTGCACACCGCCGGATGTTGATGTTGTGATGTCATTAAATTAAATAACAATGTAGGGACACATTCCTGTGATTGGCTGAAAATGAAGTAAACATCTGATTGGCTATAGATATTTCCCTGATCAATTCTATTAAACCAAAAAACCCACACACAGATGCAGAGAAGTTCACACAAGAAAAGCAGGTCGTTAATGCAGACTCAGCGGTTTGTGAATGTAACAACATCCAAATAAGTTTAAATTAAATGTAAACGAAGTAGAACATTTGTATCTATTACAAGGCTATCAAGATTACCATAAAAGCAGCCACGCAAGGTATCTTACGCCGAGCAGGTACTTGCCGTACATTTTGTTATTTTTCTGACTGATAGCCGATAGTTAAATAATGCAATCTGCTAGGAATACAGAAAGTAATGAAAAGTCATGGAGATGCCGGGGATTGAACCCGGGGCCTCATACATGCAAAGCATGCGCTCTACCACTGAGCTACATCCCCATATAGTCGATTAGGGAAAGTTCAATACTAATTAAGTGTACATGGTCATTGTTTCTCATGTTTAAACAGCTGAATTATGGTTATTATACTATTAATGAGCAAGGGAAGTTGTTGCGTTACACACACAGGACCCAGGTAGCCTAATTCTTTCTATAATGTGACTTTTATCCAATAACTCGAAGTAGCCTATACTCTTGATAAAATAAGTAACGTTACTACCCACCAAGGCTTTTAGGCTATAAACAGCTAGGCCTATGTAGGCTACCACACAATACAACAAAACAAAATGAGAATTTGATCAATGCATTTCTATCATTATTAATGTTCGTGCTGAAGCCTTCTCTTATTCTACCAGCCGGAGTTGCTGTTGCACTCCTTCATTCAGCGTTAGCACCTGGAAATGGGTCCCGCAGCAGGTGTTATGCACAGAATCCTTATTCATTGCTGGAAAGCTCACAAGTACTGCCCACAGAAAGAGAGGTGTGAAGACAGGCATGCTTTGTGTTGTTAGTTGCTGGCATAGGGTAGAGTCACTCGGTGCTCTTTACCTGAGCGCTCACACACACCTGCTGCCCGCTGTCATCGCACCTGCAGGTCGGAACTCATACACGGACGGACCGCCGCTGAGAAATGAAATGAGACTTTACTCCTTCAGATTTGGATGTGTTTTGGCGATCCTCAGTTTGGCGTCCATATCTTGGATTATATCGACTCCCAGTAATGAAGGTGAGCTGTCAGTGTATGGAGCTAATTTCCTGCCATAACTCCACAAACAAACTAAACAAGTTTTACAAACGTATGGGCTTATATTTGTGTGAACATAAAAATAATTTGTGTGTAAATATGTGATTTGTAAATGTAAAACACCATCCACAAATGCATTTAAAAGATTTGCAAACTCACAAATACATTTGCAAATGTAAAACGGATCTGCAAATACGCAAACATATTTTTACAAATAAAAAAAAGATCTTTGAATATCTCTTTAACATTTACAACTTTTGATCAGGCATTTGTGAATCCATTTTGTATTTGTCGACCAAAAATGCGCTCGTGGATCTCAAATCTCTGCTCGTGGATCTCAAGTATCTGCTTGTGAATCGTCTTTTTACACACATGGAGTTCTGAGACAAACTTTCCGCCGGTCTCGGCTAAAATCTACCCGTGTCACTCGGTTATTTTCGGAAACCACGTGATGGCCTGCTGATGACATTTCCGCATGGTTTTCAAAGTCAGAGCATGATGGTTTGTTTAATGCGCTGTTTTTTTAATGAACAGCGGAACGTTAGATGCATTCTTCATCACCATCATCATCATGTTAGTGATAGTCAGTTTGTGTTAGTTTATTGGTTCAACTTTCTTCATTTTTGTGTATTCAGTCAAGCGGGTCAAAGTTACAAAGCACTTCACATCTTATTAATCGGCCTAGTTTTACCTTACCAGTGCAGTTGTAAGGTAACATTAAATGTTATAATATTCATCGTGTCCTTTCTACTGTATATGAATACTTTCCTGTCTATTGCTTTCATTTGTATACTTAATGTTGTTATGTTTATACTTGTTTCCACACATTTCACAATTTGGGATGAATGAAGTATCTATCTATCTATCTATCTATCTATCTATCTATCTATCTATCTATCTATCTATCTATCTATCTATCTATCTATCTATCTATCTATCTATCTATCTATCTATCTATCTATCTATCTACATACACTCACTCTTAAAAATGCTGGGTTATTTCTATAAACACATTGCTGGGTTGATTTGGCTGGGTCATAATTATGGGTTATTTGGGTACTGTAAACACACTGGTGGGTTGTTCATGCTGGGTCAAAGGGGTTATTAGGGCTTCAATTGCAGTTGAACACCCGCCTGGGTTATTTTTTAACCCAGAGGTTGCTTTATTCATTTTCCCACTTCTGAATCATTCTGGAATCATCTTTTTCAAAACACAAGGTATGTAACCTATATTTTACCTATATTTATATAATTATACAATTCTGTAACCTATATTTTTTTAATGAGTTGTGATAACAGTTCAATAGGGATCTGTAGGCATTTAACAGACTGTGCAAAGTATAACATTAGCAGTTAACGTCGGCTACAAATGTTTTACATTTCTGTCAATGAGTGAAAGAGCCTTGAATTTACGTTGTGATGCGATGAATTATTATTTTACAAAGACGTGTGTTCTACTAGTAGTTATAAATGGGTCTGAACTATAGCTTTGGATTTGTGTGCAAAAGTATTAGATGTACAATAAGGCAGTATAAATCAGATGGCTTTTACGTCACAACTCTCTTTCCCAGCATGCAGCTCGGGCGCGGGCTTTCACACATACGGACAGACAGACGACAATGAAGCTCATTTATGTAGGTAAGTTTAGGTTACTAGAGTTATTTATTAATTACATTAATCATTAAAGTTAGCAACTATTGAAGTTATTTTTAGGAGTGAGTGACCGGAGTCACCGAACCACATAATGTAACATTTTAGTTCCCTGCCATCGACGTGTTACCATAGGTTAGCTTAGCTTAGCATAGCACACCAACCAGCTAGGTCGTGTCAGGGGCAAATAATAATAATTCGTGAATGATTAAAATGTCTTCATGGAGAGATTTGGCAGACCCCCTGTAGTAACTGTACATTAGTAGCTTGGTACCTTACAATAAATGTTAAAACATTGCACAGTTTTGTGAAATTCTAATGTACTTAATCTGATTTGATTCTAGTAGAGGGTTTCACCATGGACACGTTTGTCAGAGACGTTGACTGCATGGCAGCTTGAGAACTTGATTGACACATTTAAAGGTAAGTTAATTTGTATTGAGACAATGTTGAGATGTTACTATTAAATATTTTTGTTATATATTAAAAAGAGCAAGGTAGCGCTGCAACAAACAACTAATTTGATAATCGATTAATCTATCGATTAATGAAACGATTAATCGACTATTCGGACTATTACTGTGCCTTGCACAATTTCTCAAACGCTCTTATTTAGCCATCAACTTTTAGATGTAGCTTGAGGTTGTTTTAGGCATGTGGAAACTAACAAGACAATAAAGATGAATACTTGATTCAAAAATACATATATTATTAAATTAACTAAACACGTTTTGAACAAAATTAACATTGCTTTTAATTTAAATTTAAATAAATAATATTTCACATCAAAAGAAACAACAGTGTTTTAACAAATGGTATTAAATAATGTGATGACAGAACTGTAAACAGAATAGGTGAAACTTTAACAAACTAAATAACTCAGTTTCCTCTAATAAATAAAATAGCTTTTAAAAATGTGCATCTTAAAAGTGCTTAATTTTAGATAAATAAAATAAAGTGTAGCAGCAGCTTGAGTTTCTCTTTTTCTTTGTTAACCGTTTCACATCATGACTTAACTGTTTCAGCCGATTATAGAACAATATCAGTCTTTACATCATAACAATTGAACAGTTTTAAAGTTTCTTTTTCTTTCCCTCTTATATTGCAGTCCCTCACTCACTTTTTTTAAATTCAGTGCGAGAATTGAGCTGGAGCTTGTCCTGCCAGGAGTTTGTAAATCTGGGCTGACATGGAGTCAGGGCCATTCTCACACGTAGGTGCTCATTGGTTTCAGTGATGCAAACACAGGTATGGTGAAAAAAGAGAGAACTATTCGAAGCAGGAAAAAAACAGCGTAATATACCATCTGACAAAGGCCTGTGCTATAATGCTTCAATTAACTGGCTATTCTTTATAATATACTCAGATCAATAGGAGACAGAGATGTTAAGTTATAAATGAGTGAGCCGCATATGAATTATTCTGTGAACATACACTTTCAAACAGATGAGATAAGAAATGTCAGTAAAGTAAATGTACGATGTTGCTGTCCAACACTGGCTATCACACACCTTCAACAACAACAACCAAGGAGTGCATGCGGTGAACAGCAGAACTCAAATGCACTTTAAAAGCGCATCACAATTCAGTGTTTAATTCATGGATTTGAATCGTCATATATTTGTAACAATGATTACTGTCTCATCTCATCGTTCTTTGACAAACTTCTACTGTCTATTTTAACAGGCCATCCACAGACACAAAGAAAGCCCTTGCCGTGGCATTGGTGTATGAATTCCCTTGCCTTTTGGACAGGCAGTGGCTATGTAAGTTAATCAATCAACACATAAAGGAGAACACTCCATACACACACACATTTTTGGATTGCTCCTTAAAATCCCATGTAACCATCTTCATGGTTTACGCCAGGCCAATTTAATCTGAATCTAATTTTCTCTTTTACAGGGAGCTTGGTACACACCTGGCCGAAATCACAAACCTGCTACAGGTTTCCTGGAGGAGCGCTTGAGGAACGTCAGGAAGCGCATGAGAATGCTGAAACGACCACGCCACCAAGAACAACAGAAGGAACAGACCGTCCCTAGTACACCAGGTAATACTAATAACCAATATTAATTATCCCCGCCAGGCTAGAATAGACAAATGCTAGGGATTATATTTTAGGTCCCATGACTCTTCTGTCCATCCATCTTCTAAAAGCTAGTCTCAGGCACCGCTGGACCGATTGGCGACTTTTCACACAGTCAGGGGCCAGAACCCCAAATGTTTGAAATCAGCTATAATGAATCTGAGGACCTCTGTACTTATCATTAGTGCTGTAGCGACGCGTCGACTTCAAAATATCGTCGACGACATATTTCCGCGTCGACGCGTCGCCACCATAGACTGTATGACGCCACACACACGTGGGTCACCCAAAGCAACAAGCAGTTCGCAATCGCACTTCTAACACAATGGAGACTGAAACGGCTACCAACTCCTCCTCACAGGATTGCGCACGAAGCCCTCAAACGAAAACATCTCGCCCTAGGTCTTCAAAAGCATGGGAATATTTTAAAGTTAGTCCAAAACGCAAAGATATTTATATATTTATATCTCACTGAGACTGCTGCTTGACCGGAAGCAGCAGATAGCTGTGGTGGCAACCATTAGCAGCTAGCATTTGCTCTCCGATTTAAAATGGAATTATGGATTATAAATTCAATAATTTTTTTATACATAGACGTTAAAAACCTATGGATTAACCGATTCAGCCGCGTTTTTTCTCATTTGAATGCCATTGAACACGTATTTTGATCAGATTGACAGCTACGGCGGTGAGACGATCTCCCTAGAAGCTCTGTGAAGGTACGTGTTGTGATGACTGTATTTGCTTCCCCTGTCGCGAGTCCGGATCACTCAGTGATGATACTATGTACCTACATAATCTATGGAGTCTCAGCTTTAATCGGATATCTTGTATACGTGCAGCTACGATAAGTAATAAGGGTACTTTTATCTTGAGATCTGTGCCAATGTCCGTTAGCATTTTTCGCTCAGGGGTCATTTAGATGCTTCTTATGAGACTTGTGTTTTGTTTTGGTAAAAATGGTTTGTATCGTCAGTTAGCTGAGATTATTTCCGTTAATCTGGTATAACACATTAATAGGTTCTTAAATATTAAGATCCCCTGAGACACAGTATCGTGAAAAAAAATTTTTTTACATTACGTTTTTTATGAATTGAACAACAGAAAAATAATCGTTCGATTAGTCGACTAATCGATCAAATAATCGCCCGATTAATCGTTTTCAAAATAATCGTTTCCCCCCAGCACTACTTATCATTCAACAGAATATGATGTGCCTCCTGAAAAACTTCTAGAAATGGTTGAATGGATGAAGGTCAATAGGTATCCAGTGTCCCAAGTTGAGGACTACATGAATCAAACAGCTCTACATAGAGGCAAGTGGATTCGCAGCAATGGATCTAAAAGCCTCCCGGAAATCTTGACTGAGTTCCCTAGGCTTTTAGACAATCCTGGCATGGTAAGAAATTATTTTGCTATTGCGGTTTTGTCTATTTGAATGATACTCTATTTGTGTTAGGATTTGAGGTAAGGCAGGACCCAAATGCAGATTGAGGAAAAGCGGGTTTCAAAGTGTAACAAAAGGTGAGCTTTAATTACAAAAAGTTGTTGACAATGAAAAAACAAAACAAAACCATGAATCCATAAACAGGTAGCACAAGGTAGCATCCAGCCAAAAACGACAGTGACAAACATGGAGGGTGACAGGAAAGACAATGAACCGACAAGGAACACAGGGGAAGACAAGACTAAATTGTATTGTCATACTGATATTCTGTACAAACTGTGAAGTCCACTGAGACAAATGTAACATTTGTGATATTGGGCTATATAAATAAACATTCATTGATTGATTGATTGATTGACTAAATACAAAGAGGGGCAGACACAGGGAGGGAATGCAGAAACACAAAGGCAATAGGTGAACACAATCAGACACAGGAGGGAAAACACAGGAAGGAAGAAAAGACACAGGTGAGGAGGGAGGAGAAAACACAGAGGCACAAGGTGAACACAATTGGGTTATCAGGCAGGAGGGAACACAGAGACAGGAAGCAACAGACAAGACGGGGGGGGGTGAACACTTTTCAAAATAAAACAGGAAACCAAAAACAGATCTAGACAAGACAAAACACAACACAGACAGATCGTGACAATTTGACTGATACTCTGCAATGCACTACAAGTTTATGTTTAACCACTTAGACCCTACAGTATATACTTTGTAATAATTTAATAATTTACCTGTTGAAGTGACACTGGCTGTAAACCTGTGATGTGACAATAAAGATTCAGATTCTGATAAGATGTCACAACACTTCCTGTGATTATAATAGGCTATACAATTCACGCCTTGTTTTTACCATTCAACACCAGGGCAGAAAAGTCAATATTGGTTCAGAAATATCAATCTTTATATACTATTTAAATGTTGATGTTAATATGTATTTTTCTTATATTGCGTAGACCGAGCTTTGAAAGTCCTGCCGATTCTGCGTCCTCCATCGGTCTACAGGATTGGAGGAAAAGTCCACAGACCCACCATAGAGGAGTCCCGCAAGTCCTTCATTAATATCCAACCAGTACGTTTTACTTTTGTTTTTCTACTTCAATAATGGTGGGTGTTTCTGTGTTTATATACTAGCATTTTCATACTTCAATAAAAAAGATAATAAAAACAACATGCTTAACTTAAATGGCTGGTTATATTGCAAGTAACTGTTGTGTAATTAACAGGTAGGCACCAACATGGTACAGTACCTACAGACAGCAGAGAGAACTCAACCCTTCCCGCACATCTTGTGTCTTGGTGATGACATGACAACATGCCAGACCTTCACCATTGTGTCAGACAACGCCATTGAAACGGACACTTTGCTGGGTGCAGTAGATCTGTGTTTTAAGGCTTTCTTTGTGTTTGACCTAAATTACACAAAGCAGTGTCTCCCCACCTGGGAGTTTATCCAACAGGCAGTATATAACATTGATGGACATGAATCCTCAAATGTCAAATTTATGAGGACATCAATTGCAGCTTTGGCCTAAAGGTACACAGAGAGAAGTAGCCTTTTAGTGATGTGTGTCAAACAAGTGGACAGCTGCTCTCTAAAAATATGATTGACACAAAACATGATTGCAGAAGACAGTAGGCACACACTTTAATTGTGTCAAAACATTGACCCGCGTTTACAGTACCTACTATTCCTGTTAATTCATTTATTTTAATTTTATTTGTATTACTTTACGTGATTTAATTTACTTATTATTTACTTATTTAATTTACTTCATTTATTTATTTACCTTGTTATGTTTGTGTCTGTATATAGTTTCTGCTGGGCAGAGAAATGTTTTATCTCTATATTTAAACATGTTCATGTTATTTAAACCTGAAAGAGAAGTTGGTCCAGATAACAGCACTTTGTAATATATCATTTGTTTTAAGGCTCTTTGTTTTTTTTGGGGGGGGGGGGGGGGGGGGGGTGGGTTGAATTTGCATTGTTCTTTTATAGTGGCCTGTGTTGTGGAAATAATTATCATAAGACGCCAATTAGTAACATACAGGACAAACCTCGATGTCTGTTTACCTTCTTTAAGGACACAGGCGGCTTAGCCAATAATGTTATTGTTTCCATTCTGTGACCGGTCAATACTGGGATACAGATGGTCTGTGTTGTGGGTACACTGGGACACTTCCTTCTCTGTATTTGTGGACTCCAAGGTAAAATCTTCGAGGTCATAAGTGTCCGAGGCAAGTAGCTCTGTGTTCCCACACTGTTTAGGCTATCTCCTCAAATATGTTGTTTACTCTCTGCGAAACCAGTTAGATGGGCTGGCAAGAGAGAGGCTCTCCAGAATTGACGTGGCAACTCTACCGTGAAGTCAGAACCTCTGACTCTTGGACTTGTGATGTGAATCCTCCGGCCGTTAACTCCAAATAAACCATCATGTGTTTGACATCAAAGCTACTGCTCTTCCCGTGTCTCCTTCCTGAGTCGGTGACTCCACTGCATGCTACACAGAAGTTTCCTCTACAGCCTGAATGTTGACGATTTGCCAAAGATGTTCAAATTATGAATAAATGCATTTTTATATATATATATACGGTGTGTTTGGAGATTATTCATTACACTATTATACATTATTATTATATTCTATTTAGCCCAACAATATAGTTAATTTCAATCGTTAGCTTGGGTCAAATAAACAACCCAATGTATGGTTTATATTTATTTAACCCAGTGATATAGTTAATTTCAATCACTAGCTTGGGTCAAATAAACAACCCAATGTATGGGTTAAAATGATCCAGCCCAGCATATGGGTTAAGACAACCCAGCGCGTGTTCTGTCCTATAGTGACTCAGCAGCTGGGTTATGATTGGGTTATTTTTTAACCCAGTAGTTTTAAGAGTGTATATATATATATATATATATTTAAAAGATAGAATAAGATAAAAATATAATACAACTCAAATGAAAATGAACAGCAAATGTATACAACATTTAAAATAGAAAATATATATCAATAGAGTTTCTGAATAATACAAAGAAAATACTGAAAAACACCCAATCAATATATAATGCAAATTGTTTACACTTGTTTGTGTGGCACTCTGTTTCTCTGTCTCAGTATTAGCATATAAAAGTAAAAGTACTCCTTAATTATGCAGAATCACCAATTTCCGCACCATATCATTTTAATTGATATATTATATTGACACATTAATATGTTCATCACTTCAAAGTTGCATGTGCTCAAGGCGGGGTTAATTTAAAACACTTTATATACAGTACTACTGGGCAGTTCAACCTATAATACTATATTTGAGTGTTTTAGTTGATTTATATTTTGTATTGATAATCTAAATCAGCAAAGTAAGTACCTGAGTAAAGTACTTGAGTAAATGTACTTAGTTACATTCCACCACTGGGTATAAGATTAGCACGGTTCCGATTGGGCTGTTGAGCTTGATCGGGTTTTGTTGAAACTTTGCATCAGGTCATTGCTCTTGCTAATGTTGTGATGTTAATGTTGTGATTCAATGTCTCAGGCTCAGCGGCTCCGGACCTGCAGACCCTGTACCGGCGGCTGCTGGCGGCTGAGGAGCAGGCCGGGCAGATGGGCCAGGACTTCCGCAGCATCGTGGAACGTCTGAAGAACATGTCCAGAGCCGCAAACGCCACCAACGCCAACGCCACCAACGCCAACGCCACCAACTCCACCCAACCCCCCCCGTAATATCTCCACCGCCAACTCCACAGGTGCTGTTCCACTTCAAATTAACAAGCATGTGACCAGAGGTGTAAAGTAACTAGGTACATTTAATCAAGTACTGTACTTACTTAAAATGTTGGGGGACTTGTACTTTACATGAGTACTTAAATTCTATATAACTTTGTACTTCTACTTCACTAGAATTCAGAGGTAAGTCATGTACCTCCACTACATGTATTTAATACCTTTAGTTACTTCACAGATGTGGATGAATGATGTGAAATATAATCAAGTGTTGAATCAGACTTTAGTTCCACCTGGAGTAAATCCACCAGCTACCCTGCAATACACAAAGTCATTCAAACTAGCTGCACCTTCACCAGCTTTGAGAACACTTTCATGATCAATCATTATAAAACATATCATATATATTATTCTGAAATGGACCAATCTGCACAACGACTACTTTTACTGTCGCTACTTTCACTATATTTTGATGAGAATACTTTTCTACTTTTACTTGAGGAACATTTTGAATCCAGGACTTTTACTGTAACAGAGTATTCCTACACTCTGGTACTTCTACTTTTTAAGTACAAGATCTGAGTACTTCTTTCATCTCTGCATATGATGAGTTCTGGTTTGCAGGAGGCAGTTCAGTTCAACCCAGAAAAGTAATTGATATACAATATTAGTCCCCCAAAAACCTGCACTGTTCTTTGTTGTGTGTGAAATAAGCATGAGACCAGGGGGGTATACTACGAAGCAGGATTTTCGCTTAGCCGGCTAACTTCAGGGAAAACTCTGGGTTTCCGGTCCTACGAAGCTGCTTCTCTTTTTAGCAGGCTAGATCTCCATGGTAACTTATGCTGAACGGCTAGCCTGCCCCGGAGCAGGTTAGGTTGCAGGCTAAGAGCTCAACTCAGTGAAAGCAATGCCTGCTGACCAATCAGAGCTCAGTGTGCGGAGTTTAAAGCGATCAAGTCATATTACAGGATAGAGGAAATACAGAAAAGCTGCCGTTGCAGGAAAGACGGCCGGCAAAAATGCCTGACTGTGAACGTGAACATTAATAGAATATCACCTCCATCTTCAGAGCAATCTGACTATTATAACATTAGCGTTAAGAAAGCTTACTTAAATATCTGCCACAACATAACGGATCAGAATAACATTAAGTACAGTCCGCGGCATATCACTTCATAATGTATCACATATTTCCTTATCTGAGTCAGCTGAGCCGTATCTGGCCGAGCAACACTCACAGTGTCACATACTGTATGCAGAAGCATTATTTTAAGCAACACATTAAGTTGACGAAACACTCGAGACAAATGTAATTAAAGTCAGATCCACTCGTGTCTTAGTGATAGACCCTGCCTTAGTGGCAGTGATATCATAAACCTGTTAATGCACGCATTCAAACACTTGTTCTTTCACCAGCTGTATTCACCTTGCAGGTGCAGCTATGTGGCTTTTATCCTGGATAAAGTGTTTAAGTCATGGATTTTTAAAGTTTAACTTCTTCATATGTCTAATATTATAGTTGACTTTTCATTCAGGAAGTATGACGCTGCGCTGTCAGTGCGCTTCTCCATGTTTGTGATTGGTCGAATGCTCCAAATACCACCCCTTT